GTATGTATGTGTGTATGTATGCACGTACAACTGTAGGTATGTCTGTCTGTCTGCCTGCCTGCCTGCCTGTCTGTCTGTATGTATGTAAGTATGTATGTATGTATGTATGTATGTCTGTATGTATGCATGCATGGATGGTTAGATGGCCGGCGGATGTATGTATGGATGTATGTATGTATGCATGTATACACCATAGATCAAATCATGGATCGCTTGCAGTTCAAGGTCTGCGGCTAGATTAACCAGGGTTTTTTTTGGCATGTCCAGGCCATTTGGATCTACCTGTCATCGCGCGGTCCTGAGACTTCTGTCGGCGCGGAAGCACGACGCCATGTGCTCTTCAACGAGTTTGTGCTGATGTGAAGAAGGTTTACGTTTGGGACTCTGGTGATACACAGGGCCCCTGACGAATATTGGTGAAGCAAAATTTTGAGACACTGGTAGAAACCATTTCCCCCACGGTCTTGCTAGACTTTGCAGGATGTCGGCTTGCGCCGTGGTTGGGTTCTTGGGACCACCCAAAACCCAAACCCAACATCCTGTTCCCTGTCCGCTGAACCTGAAGCCCCAAACCCAAAACCCAGAACCCGAAACCCTAAATCCGGGCTTGGGCTTTGGACATGGGCCCTGTTTCGGCCGCGGAACCCGTCTCTTGCTCATTTTTCACCGGCTAGGGACCGGGCCCTGAAAGGCCTGTCAGCCTGTCCGGTGGGTTTGGCGACCGCAAGGGGTTTTTGGGGAGTTTTGCGTGCAGTCATTACTTACTGCGTAGGAACTGGCTTCCCAGAGACACGGCACCAATAGGGGCTCAGGTTCAAGCAGGAGCCCAACACCTTAAGCAGAAGCCTGGGCCGAAACCCCTAAAACCCAAAACCCTCTCTCGGCCAAACTCTTCCAGGCAGCGATTTTGGAGTCGGACATCGACACATGGAAGAACGACAAGGAGCGGCCGGGCCATTCTCCATCCAGATTTTTTGGGTTTTGGCTTTAGGGTGTAGGGGTTTAGGGCTTAGGAGTCCTGAATCCTTAAATCGAGAAGCCCTGAGCCCTGAAATCCTCCAGCCCCAAATCCTTGAATCCTTGACCCTTCAAGCCCTGAATGCCTCATTTCCCAAAGCCGATTTCCCCAAAACCTACATCCCAAGCCCGAGAGCCTATATTTAAGACCGAAAGCGCCAGCGCTCACAGACGTGCAGGAAGCCGCCTTCCAAAAGCTCAGCGGGGCTGCAGGCCTGACGTTGAAGTAGGCGTTGTATTAGGGGTTAGGGTCTAGGGTTTAGGGCCCAAGAGTTTTCGGGAAAGGTTCCCTGACGGGTTCTTCCAGGATGTTAAACTGATCCGGGGATCTCGGGGTTCACGGGTTTTTGGAGAGTCTATATCTACAGGCTCCGTAGGATTACTGGTGCATGGATCGGCGGTCTCACGGGGATACTAGCAAGAACAACACACTAACACCTTACAGAGCTTTACAGAATCCTTTAAGGGATCCTCAATGAACTAAACCCTCACTTTATATGAGCTTGGGCATCCGAGAGGCTCCGCAGTTTCCGGTCAAATCGCTTCCTTTCTCTGGCATGCCGAGGAAGGAAGGCTCATCGCTACTGTAGCCTTGCGCGCAGAGTTTGCAATTCGAAGTTGGCTTAGTTATGCACTTCGCCTCGAGCCACCTACCAACACTTGCAACTCCCCGACGTGTAGCCCTACCCCCCGGGACCAAAGCTTTCGAAGGTGCCGGCGCCATGCGCCTGGTCCGGAGTTGGAACTTGATTCCGTTATCTTCGGGGTCCCGTGAGTCATCCAAGCGTCAAAACGAGTTGAGGATTTCAGATTTGTGACGTCGCGTTTGCATTTGGTCGCCTCTCTAACAGATCGCATTCCATTCTAGTCGCTGCGCGTCTGTGTACCACAACGCCCTATCAATACTTTGTTCAGGTCCATGTATTACAGAGAGGAGGATGGGAGAGATAACGAATTTCGACGTGATCGACCGATTTTCCTATGCAAGTTTACAGAACTTCCATGGAGTCTGCATCTACAACTCAAGACGAACCTCTCCGAGACATCTCAACAGCCTGAGGCTTTGGGGCGAGCTGAATCCGGACCTTCGCGCCATCTCGGAAGAGACCGGCTGCAACCTGTTCGCTGGCTGCTTTTGGTCCCAGAGACCCCTGAGGGAAGCAAGATACCTTACACAAAATGCATGATTTAAGGCATACATTGACATGTTGATTTACGTTTAGTTGGAATCTTTGGGTTGGCCTGGGGTAATAAAACAAGGCTCCGCCTTCCTCCCCGTTGGAATCTTATGGCTGGCTTTATATAAGCTTCCGTGATGAAGCCGTGCAAAAGAGCACTAAGTCAACAATAAGGCTTCAGGAGGAGTTCCATGGCAAGAGCAAGTGTCGATGGAGAACGATTGTTGTTTCTCAATAGTTTGCTTCGCTAAGGTGGGTTCGTAGTTTGGACCAGTCATAAGATTATTCTGTCCCGAACTTGGTATGGCATGTTATGATTGCATTGGAGCTACACTCGGTATTCGGGATGAGATAACAGTAGGGACATTCGGTCTCTATGCAAATATCATACTATACTGTAGCCCTTGCATACTCCGGCCAGCGAACTTGCTACAGAAGCGCGTAATTTCAGAGTTATTGGAACCCCCCTCCCCCCCCCCCCTCCAAGGCGTAAACCCCAGGTCCCGAAAAACGGCAGCAGATTTCAAAACCCAGGAGGGGAGTTCCTGTTCCCTTTCGTGGCAGTGTTTAGGGTTTTTTTGGCTCTCCATTTTCAGGTTCTACACGCCACCATCCATGTGGCCGGCTGATGTGGCCGAGCGGCAGCTGCAAGGCAAGCAGGCTTTCTCCTTGCTCCGGGCCACTTGGAGACAGAAGGATCCTGGGGGTTCAAGATCCGACGCCTTAAACAACCCTGATGCCCCCCGTTTCAACCAGTGAGCTTTGGGTGCAGGGTTTTTTTTTGGTTAGGGCTTTACGGTTCGAAGGCTGCTTGGGAGTGCTTCGCTGTCTTCGGCTGTCGTGTTTGAGCACCCGGTGACCATATACTATACGCAAAGAGGCCTAGGTAGCCGTTCATCCTGCATCTTTTGGCCTTTATCCTGCTGTGACGGGTGGATGCTTCAGGCCATGCATCATGCGGAAGGGAAGAGGCTTCGGGATGGTCGCAGGCCGGCTTGACGCCAGCTCGCGCAAAATTAAGTTGGCTAGGAGGCTAGGTTTCATTTCAGAGTTCTGATAACAGAACTCCTTGGCCCTTTTTGGTTGCAGCGTCAGAGCCTGCTTAAAACCTAGGACCCCTACGACCGCATGGCCAACGAATTCCGCATGCAACTTGGTGCATCCAGCTGAAGCCTTGGCCATCTTTGCGCACCCTTGCACAGCTGGGGGGGGGGTTCAAACACGCAACAGAACTCTCAGACAATCCTATGAAACTGCTTCTCGCAACCCTATAAAGCCATCACTGACACAGACCTGGGGACTTGCCGTTGTCGGAGCCCTTTCGTCCACACTGGCAGAGCCACAGACCTCGAAACTGCACTTGAGCGGATCCTATTCAAGACTCTTTCAGACACTCCAGAGTCCACAGGCCTAAGAGAAACATCCCAAAACAGCTTTCCAGATTCTTCGGAGCAGGTCAGGGGGGCCTCTAACCCTGGAGCCCGACACCGAAGCTGCTTGCAAGAAAGGCAATGTCAGGGGATCGATTCGGCCTTTTTGTTGGTCTCGCGGCACGACGTGTCTGCGCGTGAAGGCCAGGCTGGAGATGAAGCGGCCTACTACGAAGCTGCCGGGAAGTCACTAGAATGAATCCTAAAGGTCCTAACCTAACCCTAAACGCAAAAACCAAGCCCTACACTCTAAACACTCCAGCTCGATCTCATGATAGACTTGTAGTTTCGATTCTTGTTGATAGGCTCATGACAGTCCACCTTCAAGCAGAAACCTTGGCGCCAAATATATAGAGGTCTGAACAGTGAATTGTAAGCGTATTCTTTCGTCCCTGGATAACTATACGATGTTCATGCACGCTCTTGTTAAGGATCCTGATGTCCGGGTTCAATGGAGTCCTCGATTTTCTGAAAGTCCCGAATCCTTCAAACCTCGATGAGCCCCGCCGGTCAAGAAGATCCACCCTGACCTTAGACAATGTGCGCAGTCGTGGCGGCTAAACATCCATAGCGGCAGTCGAAGCATCATCGAACGCCGGCAGGTCACATGGAGCGAGAGGGGGCAATTTGGCCGCAATGGTGAAGGTAAGAAAAGTTCCATAAACTCTGTAGCCCTCGTGGGGCTTATTGAAAAGAGCCGTGCCCAGTGGTGACTTTAGCATCGATAAGTCGACAAGAAGCTCAAGGCCTCGAAATTCGGAGTAGATCGGCGAAAGTTTTGGACCCAACAAGTCCGCACACCGTCAAGACTTGAACTCGAGGATGAGTACAAGCGCTTCTACGAAACCTGCGATGTGAATGGCTATCTTCAGAAGGAGTACCTTGGCCGAAGTCAGTTCACGTGGGTTTGGCGCTCCAAGGTCCTTCAGCTCCTTCTTCTGGGCTAAGGTACCTATGTGGATACAAACATACGTAGATAAAAAAAGATATGTATGCAGACATATATATATATACATACAGATATACGTGCATATATATATATATACATACACACATATATATATATATTTATATTTATCTGTTCCCCTCACATATCTGCTAATAGACTTCGGTCCCATGGCCAAGGCTCACACAGGTTCTGGCCGGCGACCGCTACAGGCTGGTGTATGTTTTGGGGCCTTTAAACCTTAAACCCTAAAGCCCCAAACGCTAAACCCTGAGCCATAAACCCTAAGCTTGAAACCCTAAACCCTGGCTTTCACCTTGTTAGGACGAATTGCCACCTCCTGCCGTCGGCAGACTATGAATCCACTCCTTATGGCAAGGTCGAGACTGGGCCTTGTTTGAGGGGTTTTGGGACGTCGGACGCAGAGTTCAAGATTCAGGGCGTGGGATTTAGGGTTTTCGGCTTGCGGTGAAGAGGGTAAGTTTGAGCCAGCAAGGGCCCTAACCACACAAAGCCACCCTCCAGACACCGCAGCCATATCTGTCGCCCTCTGCTTTTGGACTGCCTCCATAAGTTAAGACGGCTTTGCAGGGTTCCTCCTTCGAGACTTGTGCAGTTCAGCCCCATTCAGGCCAACTGGCAAACCGAACGAGCTCCGGCAACAGCTAGCACTAAAGGCTCGTTCTTGGAGAAGAACAGTGTGGATCTCTGATAACGGGGGGTGCTGACTCAGCAGAGTCTACCCCAACATAGCCCCTAAGGCCATAAGTAGACGGGGCCTTGTTGTGAGCCTACGCCACCCGCCCCAAGCCTAAGACCGAAGCTGCATGAACTCTAACATCTGAACCCCAAGCCCCCCAAAACCCACGACAAACCCTGAGCTGGGACCCAGAAGCCCCACAACCCTAAGGCGCCCTAAGGCCCTAAGGCCTGAAACCAAAGCCCCAAAAAAAAGAGCCGTATAAGGACCCTAAAGTACGGGAATGATGGTCTATTCCTTATTATGGGTAATGCTTATAAAAGAGCCCTATAATTAGTGCCAAAAAAGCTCCGATGTCAAACTGAGGAGTGGATCGACGAGCGTGGCATTCCAGCAGGGGCTCCCAGCTTTGCCTCAAAGCGTCAGAAAGTGACTCAGTGCTTCGTTGCCCACCGGTTTTTGCGGGTTTAGGGCACGGTTTCGAGCTAAGTTTAGCGCTTATAGGATCCAGGGTGTAGGCTTTAGGATTCAGAGGTTGAGGTTTGGGCTTAGTTAGGGTTTTGGAGAAGATGGCCAATGCAAGCCGGCCCTACGCCGCAAAGGTCAGCGGAGTGTTCCTGTGGATGCGTGGACTTGCCAGGGTTTGTGCACAAGCGTGCGATGATCCGTAACAGCTCCTTTAGGACAAATGGCAGGGTATCCCCCAAATCGTTATCAAGATTCAAGTCTTTACCTAGACTGGCTTCTCTATGGGTAATCACTAGGGTTCGATGGTTGGCCGTACATTTCTCGTGAGGGACTTCGGGGCACGAAGGTGAGCTTCAGGGAGCACCCAATCCTGTCCGTGCGTACAGCGCTCCAAAGCCCCTTGGCTGGAGGAGAGCTTCAACGATTTCATGAGCTCCAAGAACGCCACTCCTCGTGTGGAGCCCGGACAGGACTTTCGGGAGAGTTCAGAAACTCCGGAATTCAAACAGGAACCTCATTTGGTGACCTAAACCCACACGCCCGAGTTTCGTGCGCCGCTCTCTGTGCACCTCTTTGCATTGAAAAGCGGCCCAACCCGTTGACTTCGAAGTTTTGCGCTTCGACGGGGTCCGGGCTTGAGGGCTGTGTTTGGGGTTCCTTTACCATTTAGGGTTGCATTTGTGTGGTGGACAAGAGACTCCGTGTAAGAGGGTTCGGCCGTTCCGTTCGGGTGGCTGTCGCCAGGACGGTCTGGCATTGAGAGGAAGGCAAAGAGCATGCTGCATCATGGCTCAAGAGGAAGCCTACCCAAGGATCCATCGGAGTCCGGATTTCAAGGAATATGTCTCATGTCTGGGAGGCACTGGAGATCCCAATGGCCGGGGGTGCTCTGAGTGTTGCCGTCCTATCACTGGTCTACGAAGGCATCGGCATTGCTTGGCTCCCATTGCTTGGCCCGGCCATCCAGGAGATGTTCAAAGGGACTCCCGACTCCTACTATCCACGACATGGGACGGCCCTGGACGGCACGAAAGCTGCAGATGAGCCAGCCTACACCATGTTGCATCATGGCACGCCAGGAGTCGAAGGGATTTTCCCCGCATGGGTCCATGTAAAGGCACTAAACCCTCTCGATCTTAGGCAATCACAGTCCTGTCTGTGGGCCCACCCATTGGCCCAGGTATCTCTGCATGTATGGCGTGCTCGGAACGGCTGGGCAGGTGGCGGGTTGGAAGCTTTCGCCCCTTGGGCCGGCTTTCGCCTTACCTGTCGGGTTGCAGGATCCCGCAACGGTGAGAGCCCATGATGTTGGAGGTTTATGGTTCAGGGGTTTAGGGTTTAGGGATGAATTAGGAGAGGTTTGAGAAATTTGAAACTTCAGGAAGATGTTTGCCTCCAAATTGGCCAGCTACCCTCCACAGCTCGGCCGCAACGGCCTCTGGCTTTCAAAGATCTACGCCAGCTTTCACACCACCATTGCTCTGCACCACCTGTTGCAACGAGGTGTTCTTGGCATAAGCTCTTACTTTGCTGTACTTAGTGGTCTCTTGTCTTCAGTTACTGAACAGTAGCGTTAAGTATGCAGAGCCACGCATGCAGGTATTCCATGCTGGGGCCAAATCGGTATGGAAAGCTCGAGCTGCATCGCGTGGGCATGGGGCAGCACTACGGCTATGCCGTCACTTTGGTGTCGTCCCTCTTTTGCCTGGCGTATGCCCTGCGGCTCCTTCTAGGCACGAGCGCGACCACGCCTGCGGCAGAGGTTCTCCGGGTGAAGACGGTGCTGGACACAGCAGCCGTGGGAACAGTGCTGGAGATGGCTGTTTTCGTCCCAGCTATTATGGCAGACTGTCCTGTACCAGAGCGCATTGTCCAGTGGACATGGCGTCTCACTATGTCGAGTATTCCTCTCATCTTTGTGGTGGACTCTCTCGCAGCCTGAAATCCGAATGAAGCTGTGAGGAAAAAGAGCTTCCTGGGACTTGGAGGATTGGAGGTTCTGTTGGCTTTTTTCGCTCATGAGGAGTGCTTTAGGATCCCTGAGTTTCGAAATGTCACGACGTCGCGTACGATAGCTATGTTGATTACTCTCATTGCTGAGTTCTTGGTACAGGCCGTCCCTTCTCCATCGAGTGAGGAGTCTCCCCTGAGAACTGTTGTGCGCACAGGGGGTGGTCTCAGGATCCGCAGGAGAGTCTGTGAGAAACCCTTATTCAGAGAACCTCCCGAGTGCTGGCTGCTTAGCTTGGACTCCGTCGGAAAATCACCCGAGCTTTCCTGCACGAGCTGCAGGTATGGGTTCCAGTCTCCACAACTACAAATGCAATGATGTCTCCGCTTACTCCTTGGACGAGGAGCTCTGCATTTGGGGATTCTTGGGGTACTGGGCGTTTTGGTGATTTGAAGGAGCTCGGTTGCTAGAAGCCCTTTGTGTGGACACGTAACTCGGTGTCATGCGGCTCTACCCTAGCTTTAGTCCGGACAGCATGTGTCAGATGTAGGCGCGCAGAAGCATCTGCAACTACACCTTCAAACGCGATATTCTCTCTAAAACCGGAGCAGGCTTCAAGACTTTATCCTTGTTTACTCTTTGGGTCCCTGACCCTGAGCATGTTGCTCCTGACATGCATCGACTTGTGGAGGTGACGAAGGCGCTGATCAGGAAGGCGGCAGCGGGAGGGACTGGTCTCGCACCCTCAACTACCCTAAAATCTGAAACCCTAACACCCTTAACCTTGATAAACAACAAGTTCTAAGCCGCACGGGGGACCCAACGTCGGAAGGACATGCTTTCGCTCAGCGGTTTCAAGCAGTTCGTGGGAGAAGAGGGGTGTCTAGAGGGGGGCCTGGGTAGTCCATGGACTCCATAGCCATTCCGACTATGTCAGTATCACCACCCCAAAACCTCTTTCCGGTGGTGAACCTCTTCTTCCAGCACGCAATCCCTGTTAAACCCCGAACCGCAAACCCGCGGAACCTTGGAGCCCTAAACTCTATAAACCTTCGCACTGGCCAGGTGTTTGCCAAGGATTTCAAGCTGCAGTGTGAGAAATTTGGCCATTGTGCTCCTAGCCTGCAGTCAGCTGCGCTTCGACGGATTTTGGCGGCTGGGTCCCTGTGGCCGTGGCTTCCATCAGAATAATGATTGATAGTTACGTAGTCGTTAGTGCTGATCGGAGTAAGAGGGAGTCGGAGTCTAGATGCGTGGAAATGCCTTCGAAAGAGGGCTCCAAGCAGCAACGAGCTCGACCATGCAGATTCGAGAAGGTTCCGAGTTTCAGAGGTTCCCAGTAGCATGATCTAAGTCAGTCCTTTTCAGTTTGTTTTCCAACCATCTCAGGATGACAAGGAGATGTTCTGCCATGAGAACATTCCGGACATGCTTCTTGGCGGCACGTCTCCTCTTCTCCCTGTGCAACTTTCGCGTCCTCTCGCCGCTGTTGTGACGAAGAACCTGGAGACGCGTCTTCTTACATTTTGTCGTTTGTGTAGTTCCGGCCTTGCAGTGTCAGTGTTGTAAGTTGTGAGTGGCCGGCATCATGATTTGTTTGTCTTTTTGGTGATGTTGATGGTGGTGCTGCCTTCCTTCATGGCTACGATGATAACTCTATGTTGTGGGCACTCAATATGATCAGGGCAACAACGCACGGTGTACTTCTGGGTGAGGGTTCATGGATGCTTTGGTGAGCAATGTCCGCCCTTCTCCTCTTGTTTCATGGCAACCCACACAGCCACTGGAGAGGCGACTCTAAACGCCCAAAAGTCCACAGACCACAAACGACAAGCCCGCGCGTTGCAGGTGAGAGCCATGGAGGGGTTTTGTTTTGAGGTACGGTCTCAGGCTGTGGGCGTCTGCAGCAAGATGATAGGTTCAGAAACCCAGACAGTCTAGGATGCTTACCCGAAGGGGAAGCATTATCCGAGTTCAGACTTTGCTCTGTTTTGGCACCGGAACGCCTGGGCCCCTGAGCTCTAGAGCCCGAAACGCTAAACCGTAAACTCCAGCAGCCCGCAACGTCCTCCCAGGTGCGGCTCCAAGCCGGCAGCGTGAGGCCAACAGATGGAAGCGTCCAAAATTGGAGCCCGCGTGTGTCAGGGAAGCTCAGGGGTTGGGGTTCCTGGGCTCTGCGGGTTCCGAGCTTTGGTCTTCAACATTTTCTTAGGCATTGAAGCACTTTCGGTCTGAAGGCCGGCCACGTGGTTGAAGTTTTGCTTTGCATCGAGGAGTCTTTCGGAGTTTTCAGTTTCGGGCAGGGGTGTTGGCGCGTTAAGTTCAGGTCAAGGCTTTGGGGGTGATGTGAAGTCTGACGGGCTGCCCTGCCCTAAAGGCACATTCGCCGAAATCTGGGGTTCAATGGTGCCGAAGTCAACAGAGACTCTGAGGGTTGGAGCTTCTTGGATTGCCAGTACTGTGCACTCCAGCAGGATTAGACGGATTTTCAAGCGTCAACAGCCAGTGCATGAAGCCTGCCTTTTCTAGAGCATGTGGGCTCCTGCAAAGCATGTAGAGCAGCTTCCCTTATACTCCCTGAAGAAAGGGCCTGAGCAAGAACTGCGACGGAGCTCATCCGTAAGAACAAAGCAGCACAGAGACTCATGAAGTCAGCAGTTCCTCAATCTTCCCTGAGCAAGCTCAAGATCCAACTTGCCTTGGGCTCGTCCACTGCGCCATGGGACGAACGTTTGTGCACCCAGCACATGGACATGGCATTAATTGCTTTGTCATGTCAGTGACAGTGAGAGTGAGCGTAAGATAGGGAGAGAGGGAGAGAGGGAGGGAGAGAGAGAGAGAGAGAGAGACAGAGAGAGAGAGAGAGAGATAGAGAGATAGAGTGTGTGTGGGCTAGGCTCCGGTTCGGGGCCGTTTATCGTGAGAGTCTTTTGGGGAGATGCTGCTTCATGTGCAGTTGTTTTTGCTTGCAGATCAGAGTTCTTGCTAGTCCCGAGCAGGCAAGCCATGGCTGATCACTGTGTCCAGAGGGACTTCTTCTGGCGGCTGTCCTTTAAGGGTGGCACAGACTGTGACAGGGCTCAGCTGTTGGGCCAGGACTTAATCAAGGACCTCGAGGCATCCGAAGGCATCTGCCAACAGCTGCGGACGCATGCCGAAAGCATGAGGACGGGCAACATGACCAAGGCGTTTCGCTTTTTTGTGGAAGAGATAAGTGACATCAGAAAGTCCGTCTCGAAAGAGCAGTGGGAGCTGCAGAAAATCTGCCGGAAAATGGGTTGGCCCTCAGGGACCACAAAGATTGCAGAGGATAAAGGCCACGCGATCATCGAGGAAGAGGCCTTGCCCCGATTCCGGGAGTACCTGCAAGACTCTCGCAGGGAGCGGATTCTCAAGCACCACGTTGTTGTGAGCCCCGCATATCTCCCGCTCCTAGAGAAGCTCATGGCGGAGCGTTTGACCGGCGAGAGGCAACCCAAACTGAGCCCTCCAACCAGAAATGAACTGCCCCTTGGCGCAAAACGTTTTTTTTTTTTTAGGGCGGGGTATTCGGGCACACCATGGGTTGAATCCGCTCATGTTGTCAAGATTTCTAGCGGGGCCCCCAAAGCACTCTGTTGTTCAACCTTCGTGCCATGTCAAGCTTGAAAGTAAGGCCGTCAGATGGCTTCCTGAGCCCAGAAGAGAAGGCCGACATCTTGAAGCAGCTTAAACTGACTTTGGAGGATAAGCTGAAAAGCCAGCAGGCCCGCAAGCTGGAAGTGGAGCAGAGGAGGGCCAATGTGAACGCAATGCTATCGGAAATCCCACGCCAGTTTGACGAGGTTTCGATTCTGAGTCTGGACTCTCGGAGAACGAAAACGACGGGAATACTGGCAAAGCACACCTTCAAAGTCAACCTGGTTGCACTCCCCTCAGTGTGGAAGGATTCAGAAGTTGATGACGGAGCAGGTGTTAGTTCACAAAGCGAGATCTTCAACTTGGTGGCAGAACGGTTGTGTGAGATGTATGGCATCTCCATAAGTGGGGATGCTCTAAGAGATATCTTTTTCGAATGTTGCGAACTTGAGGATAAGATGTCTCGCGCTGGGGACGTGAGCGATGTGTCGGAGGATCCGGCGTCACCTGATGCTTCAATCGAAGAGGTTGAGGATTTCATCCAGGAGTTGGGCAAAGGGGACTTCGAGCTTGGAGACAAGCACAAGTTTGCAGCCTACTGGATGAGTGCTGTTCCTGCCTTGAGCAAGAGGTGGTGATCAAGTATCTCCTGTCGAAAGCAAAGACATTGGCTGCCAGGTGGTCAGGCGACCAGATTCCTCGCGAAGCATTCGAGGAGATTGAGCAGCAGTTGATGCAGTCGACTATGCATTGCTTCACCTTCCAAAGTCTTTCCAAGTGCTTCATTCACAGGGTCCAAAATTCCGATGTAGTGTTCCGCCGCGCTGCCAGAGGCTTGCTTCTCGAGCTGGTCGAGCTGGATGTTGACGAGCTTTTGGGTTCGGCCCCTGTCGAGAAGCAGCCAGACACCGCCAATCTCGAAGAGCTGGTGTTCCGTTTGGCCGGCAGGGCTTGCGCAGTCTTGAGAAAGGCTGCCTTGCACGCAGAGAAGTACTGGCAAGAAGCGGTTGCCCTGCCCGCAAAGAAGCGCTGGCAAGAAGTGCGAGATGCTGCAGCGGAGAAGTGTCGCGGTAAGCCAGGTCCGAAAATTTATCGCTCTGACCGGGTCCGCAGGAACACGTTGCAAACCTACGGGTCTTGGATGTGTCCGCCATCGAAAGAAGTCGTAAAGCAAGCAAAAACGGCAACGTACCGAATCACGCACAATTCTTAAGATCTCGACAAAGGCAAAGCCTGTCTCGCATTCTCATGTGAAGCTCTGCAAGGTGTGAGATCTTTGATCTTTGTACCATCGCAGAAGGAGGGAAGATCTCCATTCTATCCAACAGCTTCCTCTCAAGGACTGGAGGGGCATGCCAGACCAAAAAGAAGAAGATCTTCGCTCACGGCAGCTGCGATTCTTGTTTTCTTTAAAGCTCTTGCTTCTTCTGAACTGTCTAGTCAAGAGGACCGCTGCGCTCGTGGAGCCCTCACGACTTTTGCTGGCCCCGGCGCTGCGCTCTAGACCGCCGTGGTGCCAGATCATGTACAGTATGACCAGCACTCAGTAGCCGCGTGCTGCTACCCGACCCTGGAAAAATCTTGAGACAGAGGTCCATGCGATGCAGGACAGCATTCTGCTTGCAGCTGGGTGCAATAGCCGCCGTCTGTAGTCTTTAGCAGAAGTTGCTTGCACATGATGCTCCAAGGATGCCACAGCTGACGGCAGGGAGCTGCGATCACAAGAAGTTGTGCAAGGTCACGTGTGGCCGTCAGCCTGAGACCTGGAAGCCAGAATGTTGGTTTCGCATGTATGACTGAAGGAAGCCAGCCCAGACAGGAGTCTTCTAAAGTAGGATTGAGTGAGTTACTGTTCCGCGTATTAGATGTGTATCGAAGCTGTCCTTGTAGCATGGTTTCAGTATGGGGTCCAATCATCGCAGCATGACGAAGACATGTTCTGCCATGAGAACATTCCGAGCATGCTCCTTGGCGGCAGTCTCCTCTGCTACATGGGCAGTGTCGCTTTCTGTCACCGCCGTTCTGATGCTAGGAAAACATATTCTCGCGTGTTGCTGTTTGTAGTTCTGCCGGCCTTGCAACTTTGGATGTTGTCAGCCCAGGCCGGCATCATGATTCGTGTATTTTTTTGAAAGATGTTGACTGTGATGCTGCCATCGTCCATGGCTACGATTAAACAGTGTGAATCTGGGTGAGGGTCCGCGGTTGCTTCGGTCGAGCATATAGGTGGCACAAACCACAGCAACCTAAACCCAACGTAAACTCTAAACCCGTAAGCCCTGGCTGCGCAGCTAATTTGCCGTTGTGGAGAGGTTGTGGGGTACGGTCTCGAGGTTTGTGCATCTGCAGCCAGTTGGAGTTTCAGAACAATCAGGTAACGTGAAGACGCATAGCATCAGGATCCTTGCTGCTTGCTATGGTAGGTATCTTTAAAGGAAATACAGGTTTCAGGAAACCCCACATGATCCCACATGTGAGACTGGAGAAGTTGCTTTGGGGCGGTCACAGGTTCGACCAGCATAAATCCAAAAAACTCAATATAATCGACAAAAGACCCTAACAACCCTAAGCACACTACGGCCATAAGAACAATCAAACGTCCGAAAGGCTTCAAACCCCCAACATCAATGCTGAGGGCGCTGAGCTTCCCGGTGGGGCTTGAAGTGTGAGGCCAAGAGAACGATGGAAGCGGGTTGAAAAAACTGAGTGCGAGATGGGTTTAGGGTTAAGGGTCAGCTGGAGGCTTAAGAAAGTGTTAGTTCCAGTGTGTATGGTTTTAGCTTTCATCGCCATTGGGGTTTGGGTTGTGGGCAATCGGTTTAGGGCGTTCACGTGGAGAAGATTTAGTTTGGAATGTTGAGTTTTGGGCACGCGCTTTTGGTTTTTGAGGGCTTGCCGGTGTTGGGGTGACTTCCAGTCTGAACTCTCCACCGTTACATGGTTCAGGGTGAGGAGAATTGGGAAAACGCATGCAGGCCCGTGCTGTCGATTCCGTGCCGGCTCTCAGCAACCCAGTGTAGTGTATACCGTGCATGGGTTGTCAGAGAAAGTGCCGACAATTTCCAGTGCGTGTGGGCTCCGTCAAAGCATTCCTGAATAGCTTCCCCACGTCTCACTTCAAAACCAGGCCCCGTCCCGTGCTACTCCGTTAATGGGCTCGACGACAAACCCATCAAAAACGACTGCGAATGTGTTGTTTCTACCGCTGAAAAGCCCAACTAAACAGTTCAGTCAAACATCCATCTTTCTGAGCGAGCTGAAACTCCACATAGCTGCGCTCTCGTCGCCTCGAGCGCTTTCGCTGCACCATGCGGCCGACGTTTGGGCACCCAGCGCCAGCACGTTGCTTTACGTGCTTAACAGAAAGGGAGGACCTTCTCTAGATTCGTGTCGTTTTGTGGTTTATTGCAATCGTGATGTTGCGACTTCGTGTTTTGAGTTTTGGCATGTGTGATTCCCAGCGACGATAGCATCAAAGCAGGCATCGTGGATCCTGACTTGGACTTCGCCGGCAAAACTACAGTTTTGGATTTTGGAGGCTGTTGGGGCTGGCTTTCCATTCTAATTGGGGCTGAGTAAGTGCATGAGGGCTCTGCATTTCTTTTGCTTGTTTCTTACCCACATGCCTCTCGTGAGGCGTTTGCCCGAAAACCCTTAACCCTCACCCGGTTACCCCACCAGGCCTCAGAGCCTACTTTCCACCTTTTAAGCTTTAAAGCCTCCTAAAGTTATAAGTCCTAAACCCCTATAGTTCCCTAAAGCCTCAACCCTAAACCCCTAAAGTTCCCTAAAGCCTACATTAACGTTACCGGCAGAGTCCCTCAAATTCGACTCAGGCTGAGACCTAGCACTCGCCCACAGCCCCAGGCGCGGTGCGCTGCGGCTGATTTTTGGGGTCTATCGGGGAAATTCGGGCTGTGTTAGAGGGGTTTAGGTGCTTTTTGGGTGCCAGCTTTCGGTCTTTTTGGTCTGTTAGTGCTTCTAGCATTGTATGGTTTAGAGCTTTAGCTGCTAGCTGCTTTGGGCTGAGCATTGGAGTTCAAAACCTGTTCCGGGTGTCCAAGGTGTTGCTATGTGACTCTTGACCTGCCGGTGCTGAAGCGAGAAGTTTATCGTTTCGGACCGGAAGGAAGGTCAAGCCTGTGCACAGGCACACAGGGTTCGGCTGGGACATTTGGAGAGGGAGCAAAGTAGTTGTCTGAGGTCGAGACTCGCAAGGAACGAATTAGGCAGTATTCCCGCTTAGAGCGGATGTATGCTAGTTGCAGAATGCTGCGAAAGGTCAAAGGCTCGTAAAAGGCGTAACAGTTCTTCTTCCTGTCGGACAAGGGCAGTGCGGCGTCTGTGGTGTTTAGGCGTCGACGCCAAGCCAGCATCGGGCTCTCTGGGCTGCAATCCAACACTCTCGCACATGGAAAGTGAACGAAAACAGCGCTGTTCGACCAAGAACCCATAGTCTCCGAACTCCCAGCGTCAAACTCCAAAGCGGAATGATCTAGACTCCACCCCAAACTCTGATCCCTGACGCGGCAACCCGAAACCCTAAGCCCTATACAAATCCTAAAACCGAAACCATCTTCAGGCCAACCATGCGCAAGGGGCCCGGTTCGGCTCGGGGCAGGGTGGCCCAGAGCAGATGAATGCTGAGAAAAAACATGCTTTTTTATTGGTAAGCAAGTGGCTTTCTAGTTCAGGATCTCTGGGCTCTGGCAGTGCGCCCTGAAACTTAAAGCACCTAAACCACCCTGAACCCTAAGTCGCAAACCCGAACCTCAAAAGTCGAACTCCCATTTTCCCCTAGCCCGGACCCCGGACCACCGCCTACAACTGAACCCTGGCCGTCCTTAAGTTCAACATGCAGCCTTACACCCTGACGCTTAATCCAAAATCCCCAATTCTTCGAATCGGACCGGCGGCTTGGGCAATCGTCTACGAGAGATGCGCAGGGGTGTTGGGATGTAGGGGTTTAGAGATTACTTTCTTCAATATGGAGCTTTAGTCACGCTCCGAGTGGCTTCTCTTGCGAGGCTTCTGCGAGTCATCATTCCCTACACAGAAACCCCTGCACCCTACTATATAGCCCTAAGCCCTTAACCCCTGCAGCCCGAAGCCCTTCTTGAACCCTTAACCCCGAAACCAAACTCCCAAACCGCAATACCCCAAGCCCACACCGTAAAGCAGGCCGAGTGCTGCTATGCGACCCAGTGCTGACCCAAGTGGCTCAGGGCATCGGAGCGACAGTCTCGGTCAGGGGGCCCTGACCTCGAAACCCACGGACCCAAACCTCACAAACAGGAATAGGACACATGTTATGAGGCTCAAGAGGAAACAAGGATTTGAAGCGGGAATGCCCTGCAGTCTGTTGCCCTTCTGTGTTTGGTGACGTTGGAGCAGGGCGTTCGATGTTTCAGGGAAGCACCAAAGTCTTTATAATGATGTCCTCACCCGATACGTGCGGACTTGGGGCTGGGAAAACTCTGGAAAAAGCCTTCGAACCTTTGCGTTTTCACATGTTGGGCGTTGAGGATCGCATCATTTAAGGGCTTCCGCACCTTTCCTATGACTTTATACTTCCATTCTTGGAAGTCAGGTGCGAGCGTCCGGCCTACGCGTAGCAGGCAGCGACCTCGAAGGGGTGGAAGCTGCAAGTTTGCTGTTCAGCACACGTGATTTGCTCTATGGCGACTTTATGGCGTGCTCGCAGACCTCTGTTGTTTAATGTTCAGGATTCAGGGCTTAGGTGAGCGTTTTAAGTAAGTTGTAGGGGCTTTGCAGGTGTCTTAGCAAGGGCCCAACAGGGATTTTACACGTTTTCGCTTGGAGGGCTTTCCATGAGGGAAAGCTTCGGTCCATCGCCGGATGACTCCCTTTTCAAGAATCTTTATCGAATAGACGCCATCTATTCTGGCCCCATCTATTCTTGCCCCCACATTTTATCATGTCTCTTCCTGACGATGCACTTTCAACGCGGTTTTGTAAGAACTGAACCTAGCGATGTCGGGCAAACAGAGGACGGCGACGCCGAGTGCCGCAGCGCTAGGCGCGACGCAAGCTGCCTGGGCCACGAGATTCGTGAGAATGGCGGTTGAGTTCAGGGTGTTTAGTGCCTGTAGAGTTTGCAGCTCAGCTGTTTTTCGCTGAATGCGTTTATGATGAGGACCGCGTTGAGGGCAGGCCTTCCAGAGATTGATGGATGAAGGCTTCATTTCGTTT